TCAAACGGACATAGAGCGCGCTTATCACTAAAGTAACATTCAGACAGAAAACAGAGGACAGCCCTATCAATAACGTAACAATCAAGCCAAAAGTAAAGAGCTCACTTATCACTAACGGAAAAAAAAAAAAGAAAATAGAGAGCGCTTATCACTAAAGTTATATTCAAACAAAAAATTAGAGAACGTGCTTATCACTAACATAACAATCAAACACAAAATAGAGATAGCGCCCATCACTAACGTAATAGTCAAACGGAAAAAAGAGTGCGCTTATCGCTAAAGTAACATTCAAACTCAAAATAGAGATAGCGCTTATCATTAACGTAATAATCAAGCAGAAAATAAAAAACGCGCTTATCACTAACTTAACCTTCAAACAGAAAACAAAAAGCGCGCTCATCACTAACGTAACACTCAACCAAAAATATTTTCGATCCTAAAGTGAAAATTGCTTCTGTATCAGCACTTTGAACTTTCTCTCATTGTTCTGTTACTTTCTTATTAAGTGCTAATACTTACGTGCAGTAGGTTTGAGGCAGGCCACACATGGCTCCAAACTTTGACAGAAACCGATTTTCCAGATCTACAACTGTCTCTCCAATCTTGTCATCTTTACCAATCAGATCGTAATCCATCACTGTGACACACAGGTCTTTAGATATTGGGATGTGGGCCGTAACCTCAAACATCCTTAAAAAAAAATAACAAAGCATAGTCTAAGTGGATGTAACAGCTCCAGTGTAAAGCGCGAATTTCATGGACTCAACAGGGTGTAAAGAGGTGTAGCAGCTCTATTGTATAACGCAAATTTTTCATGGACTCGACAAAGACTTGTTTCTTATTAATGAAGGGGGAAACAGTACCTTTAGCAGTGTCACTTCTTTACTCATTTGTTGCGTTAAAGGTTTGCTTTGTTAAATAAAGAGACTAGCATGTGATTTCTCCTTACAGTATTACTGCTGATTCAAACATTAAGGTCATGGAAATGAAGGAAATGATAACAAAACAAAGATGGGTTAGGATGTGAGGGTAAAAAAGACAGCAACCAGCCACCTCACGTGAGATGGTTTGTCACTATGATGCAAAGGTGAAAAGCTTACTTTCCAAAGACAGGGTTCAGCGTGTTAGGAATATACTTGTCTTGATCCTTGATCTTAGTTTTCCCGAGAGATACGACTAGATACGGATCAGCCTGTGAGAAAACAGAAGGAAAAATTCAATTCACAATAGCATCGCTGATACAAAGGCTTTTTAAAGATCTTACACAATCTACAACACAACAAAACACAGAGACGTGATCCGAAAGGTGTTACTCCAAAAGGGATATATCAGGCAACTTAGCAATACTTTCGCTCAAGAAAGAAGATTAGGTTCCGCAGACGGACGGTTCACCGAAACAAGAAATTCTATTGGATCGTTTCCACCCAAGAGGACTAAAATTTTATCATAGGGAGAAAAAGAACTGGAAAGCCCTTCCCTCCAAACATGGTTAAACCTCGGAAACGACGATTCCATTTCATCAAACGTGATTCGGACACAGACTGAACAATTCCTTGAACTGTTTAGACGGACTTTGAACTTAATTGCGCCTTAAAGATGTGAAGATATCATTGTATATTATTGTTTTGATCGTACGCGGTTGTTTTGAACGAACGCACGGTTTGAATAAATTATTTTTGCACTTGATGCGTGCGCTTTGCTTAGCATAATTATGATAAGCCATGTCGTATTTTTCCATGTATATTATTAACACGTAATCACGTAATTTTTCTCTTGCAACTTGGAATAAATAAGCACTTGTTAATTTTTTCAAAGACCACAAATTGCACTCGCCCTACGGGCTTGTGCAATTTTGTTAGTCTTTAAAAAAATTTACTCGTGCTAATTTATTCCAAATTGCACTCGAAATTATGTGATTACCTATACAGGTTGCACAGCACATAAAAAAGAATTGTCAGTACTCACCAGGCCATTAGGATCCATGGGTTGAAGGTCAATAGCCTAATATCGGGAAAGCGAAAAAGGTAATTAAATGTCTCAAACTCAAGGTTGAGTCCATTTTTATGACAGGAAAAGAAACAATTAAAAAGAAAATTATCATCAATTCACGACAAGAGCATAGGGGTGCTTGCTGTGATTCAAACCTGACGGATGTTCCATACCCCCATCGTATTGGTTTTATAGTGGCAAAACGGATATACGGCCCATAAAATCTGTTCTAACCTAGCTACACACATTAAGATGAAAGTATTGCTTTGATGGAAAACGAGGTGAGAGGTCATAGTTATTGGCAATTCTTATTGCATTTGTCTGAAGAGCACCCCGCGAAATGTGCCGTGAATTACCGTTATACTTAATACTCCAATTAACAACAAAACACAATATCATTATCCCAACATTGCGCCTTCGAACCAACCTTTATGACATAAACTCTGACCAGACACTCAACCGGTTCGCTGGGAGGCAAGTTTCTCAGGATACGAGGCGGCAGCGGGAGATTTGGGTTGCCTGGTAACGGGTACACATGAAATGCTCCCTAAACCCACAAGAAACACAGATTTAGTCGGATAGACATCTTTTTAGCTCAATTCATGGTAGAAGGATATCAAACTGATTTCTTGTCAAACCTGACCTCGAGGACTTTCGATCAAATTAAAACCCCAACCCCCTTCAATTTTGACTTCAGTACCTTAAATTCGCCAACTACAGTGGCGTCCTCTCCAGGTTTGGCTTTTCCACGATGAAGTTCAAACGTCTTAACCATGTCTTGGAACTTTTCAAAAACGTCCACTTTTTCAAGCTCTTGCTCATACACCTGAAGAAAAAAAACAACAACATCAGAAAGGACAGACCACTTCTTATTCTTTCCACTAATCATGCTAATTTGCAAAGTTGAAGTTGAGTGCTGTTGGGAAACTTCAGTATGATTATCACCCTTAACCCTACAACCCCCTCGAATGACTAGCATCTAATTTCCCCTGAATCACACATTAAGGTCATGAGGAACCTCTTAATTGTTGAACAAATTCTCCTTGTCAGCACCCTTGGAATTGTATAGGAAACGGTATGGAGAATATGCATACTGATCTTAGTGTGTAAAGGTTTAAGTAAGATGCCAACCGATAGCAGGTTACTCCTCCTCCTCCTCAGGATTGGTGGGGGGTGAGGATCACTTTCTGCGAGGATCACTTTCATTCACGTCTTTATCCGCAGTTCAAATATATGACTTTCATATATTCTTAACCGTTTATTCATCACTTCACGGGTTTATTTAGAACCAACATCATGACCAGCTCCCAGTTGGCTTGTTAGCTCAGTTGGTAGAGCGCTGCACCAGTATCGCAGAGGTCATGGGTTCAAATCCCGTACAGGCCTGAATTTTTTTCAGGCCTTATTTTCACTACTGCCTAAGTAGTGCATATTACTGCGAGGATCACTTTCATTCACGCCCCCAGGATTCTGTTACGCTTCTCTATGATCTGCTTTATATTCCTGAGGGAGGGATGGGCAGAGTGAGGGTAATGTGCCTTACAAAGAACAGGACACAATTACTCGGAAAGCGCTGAAACTCAAACCTCTTTAACAAGGCTCTATCCGGTTACCAATTTAAATTTGCGTTTTTCGTACTTTGTGAGGTAAAGAACACTCTATGAAACCAAGACGTATTTCCATAGCAGAATAAAGATTGGAAGTGCCAATATTAATTCGTACGAGACTGATGAAAAATGCCAAGGAAAAGCAACAATTATTTCATATGTACATACAATTATCTTGTCGTAGCCACGCTCTATGTAATCTCCACATTTATCATAATCACTCAGTGAGGCGTAATACTTCGACCACCAGTCAATGTCCTCCTCAACCAATTCCTGTCCACGAAAAGAAAAGAAGAAAAAAACAGGATTCCGTGATTTATCAACACCTCTTACACACGGGCTTCGACAACTTTTTCCATTAGCGGCTGCCGGTGGTGAAATAGATGGCTGCGTGTGTCGTAAGGCGACACCCAAACACCTGAGCGAGCTCGCAGGCTAAACAGACGGCGGTAGACCGCCATTAAACGGGTTTTAATTGATACCTCTTCCTTAAATGAACTTTTTTTCGCTTACTTTTTATGCTATGAAATGAATGCACGTTCTATACCGATAATCCATCAGAGTACAAATTCCAATAAATTTTTAGTACGAAATAACAAGTTGACGATTGAAGTTTGAGGGATTGGGATCGCACAAAAGAACGCCTTGAAAACAATCCAATTGGAGCTGTTGAGAAGCAAACATTTTTAAAACGAATGGTGCGATGGCCATGTACACAAAGTCTTTCAATGATCGATCGCTACAAAAGCTTGACGACATCTTTGACAAACATCGAAAATAATGAAATTTATTGGAAAAACCCCTGCGTACAATCTATCCGAAGTGTCCTTTCCTTCAAGGAAAATTTTCTCGTTCGTCTTACCGTTTTGTCCGTCTCTTCAGAGATGTCAAGTAAGAAAGAACCAGACTCTTCATCTTTGGCTGCATCGGCTGCGAAAAAAAGTCAAGTGGACCATTTGTGTGTTTCCTTATGTTAAATCATACCCAGAGTACAAGCACGTTTCCAGCAAACTTCAAACTTAAACCAAAAACAATGCAATTTTTGTAGGTAACAACATGATTTCTCGTGCAATTTGGTGTTAATAATCACGAGCAAATTTTTCAAAGACGACACGAGCCCGTAGGGCGAGTGCAATTTGTAGTCTTTGTAAAATTTACATAGTACACTTAAATGAGAGAATACTGTTTCTAAAGCGAGAGCAAATTTAAGAGCCTGGAAGAACAGAAAGATTTCAGAGATTGAGAGATTTGTTTTGTTGCAAATGGCTCTCTCTCTCTCTTTGTCCTTTAAAGAATGGACGGCAATTAAATTTACCAGAAGCAAGCTGGTTCGTCTCGCCTAAACTAACTAGACGAAAACTCCACTGAGGGGATCATGCGTTAAAACAGTAGGGTATGTCGGAGGTGGCAGCTACGGCGAGGGAATTATTTTTCTCCTTCAGCACCAACCTTCATCATCACCCAAATCATTGCCGTCCAGAGGCAAGCACCTGTAAGGCTGCAGTGACTTGATGCAGTAAACACCGACAATGGGTCGGCGGCCAAATGAGCGGTTATCCCGCACTTTGATGTTCATGGGTGGAGTGTAGAGTTCCTCTTTAGGAAGATACTAAGATGCAGAAGAAAAGGATATTGAAAAAAAAACCATCTCTGAATTATGCAAGGTCTCAATATCTGTTTCCATACCCAGCTGCCGATGATTTTATAGGCGGTTGTGCCGTGAGGCGAAAACCAAACACGAAAGCCTGCTATTAGGCTAAAAAGACGGAGATGAGAGGTCCTATAAGCGGAGATTGACGGCTGTTACCCGGTTTTTTTTTTTTTGTTTTTTTTTTTTAGATTCCTGGATGTGTTTGGACGTAACGTGTATTTAAAAACTCATTCTTTGATTACAAGTAAAGGACATCGACGTTACCTCAGTTAATAAAAATTCAAAACGACAAAAAAAAAAAAAACACGCGCGCACAGGCCAATTTCCGGCGACCTTTTTCCCCAGAAACTCACCCCCTTTTACATGCAATTGAGTGATGGAAATTCCAAATGACTACATAGCATATCACATCATTCTGGTTGATTAGTACAACCACAAGTGACTAATTCCCAGCAAGAATCACCTCTACAACAATGATGGTGATCCTAGGTAACCAAGCGGGGCAATCCCTACCGTGTCAAAAAAGAACAGCGGCTCATCAAAGTTGGGATTTTTCTGAGTGTTCTTAATAGTCGACGATTGAATCACGTGACCTCCGCATTCGAACTCGATGCTTGGCGAGGAGACATTGGCCAGTTGAAACTTCTTCATGTTTCGAACGCCCCAGCATAAGACCTGTAATAAAAAGAGCGAAATTTAGGTGGAACTAAATTGTACCAAGTTTAATGAGGAAGTAGTCTAAACTACTCCCCCACCCCACCCCCCTTCGAATGGCTCCGCCACTCAAAACATAGAGCTCGTGCTGTGAAGTAGTATGTACAATGTCTCCTCGAAAGAATTGTCTTTTGTTCAAGGAGTATGTGAAGATGTTGTGCTTAGTTTTCTGCATCGTTAAGTCTTTGTAATCACTATGGATGTAAACAAAAACCAAAGGAACAAGAAAAAACCAACAGGTGACAAGAATGGCAAACAATAAACCACAACTTGAAAAATTTGGCTGTAAGTTTTTTTTTTTTTTTATGCAAATTTCGAGTTGAGAGTAGTTTGAGTGAGTGTAGAGTGAATCCTTAGCATTTACTTTCTCATTACAGTATCATCCCCGAATCACATTAAGGCACGAGAACACTGAGTATGATCACCAACTAGAGAAGCTCTTGATTGTCTAAAAAACTAAATTCTCCATGTCAGTGCCACAGGAAATATATAGAGAACAGTTTGGAGAATATGTATACTGATGTTACTGATGAAAGGGTGTAAAGGGTGTGTCCACGACCGAAGAAGCAAACTGTAAGAGATAAAAGTTAAAGTTTACTGGCTTGCTACCAACATACACACGCGTAGATTAGTGATACTGGGGCCAGTTTCTCCAAGGTCCAGGTAACTTAATGGGCACGTAAAGCTGATCTGTTTTCATTCAGGATGATGACTTCAAAAGTTTTGCAATAAAACTATCAGCTAGAGAGACAAAATGGACTGGTAAGGATGCCAAAACCTACTTCTCTTTTCTTTACATTTTAATTATAAAATATGGCTTCGGGCCTGTTAGGTTATCGGGACTTTCGAGAAACAGGCCCCGGGTTTTCATACCTCAATAGCTGTGCGCTGAACCGCGGGTCTGATTCCACTGGGTACCATCTTCAATGACGGTTTGTGTTCTTTGGTGGGTGGAAAGTAAGGTAAGTCAGCTCCCTCGTCCTGTGGAGTAAATACAAAATAAAACAACCACATAAAGGTTTGTAGCATTCAATTAGTTTTGGTACTAACATGATTTAGAGTGCAATTTGGTGTAATAAGCACGAGTAAATTTTTCAAAGACAACAAAATTGCACGAGCCCGTAGGGAAAGTGCAATTTGTATTCTTTGAAAAATTTACAAGAGCTTATTACACCTATTTGCAAGAGAAATCACTTATTTCTTGTTAATAATGTACATGACATAACATCGCAGAGTCAGGAGAGCCAAAATTTTGAAAGCGTGTGCACGCTATTCGTAATTTGCACTCGTGTTAAAACTTTGCACTCGTTTTCAGCCAATCAGAAGCACGTAATTTTTCATGTGCATTGTTAACTTAGTTGCACCCTTCCTTGACTAGAAAGGCAGAGATCAAGTTTGAGAAGGACGTTTTGAGGACCAAGAGATACAGGTAAACTCGAGTAGCTAGGGCAAAGTGCCACTTAAGATAAGAAAAAAATTCTTCTCCATATATGCCACAACACTTACCAGGAAAAGCTCGAACGCAACCAAAATTTCCCCGCCATCTTCCGTGCCTTTTTTCACTGGTTCCCAAAGAAGTCTTGGAGCTGGCGGTGCCTGGCCATTTAATTTAACAACAGGTGACTCCACACAGCGACCCATAAACTCATCTCTACCCTAGTAAGAAAAAAAATGTCTTCACATTTGAAAGGAATGTTAAGAACATCAAAACCGTTCAAGTTTGTGAGCGCAAGTGGTTAACTAGGAAGGTGCTTAATTTCACTTCTTATACGAAGGTCAGACTTCGCAGACTTGCACTTCTCTTGATAATGGGTAAAAAGCCTTCCTCTTCCTTCTACTTGTTCTTATTCGGTTCTTCGTCTCCTACCTTCTTGCCTCATCGCTTCGCTTATTCCAGACTTATAACACTCAACTGCCATGAACTCTTCACACGACCCTGATGATGACATCCGCTCAGGTTGTCAAAACGTCAGTCACCATTACCGACAACAATCCTTCGCAGGACTACTCTTACCCCGACGATCAAACTACACTATTAAGCGTTATAAGGAAAATCTTTGAAGAGTATTCTCATATTAACAACACGGTAACACCTATATAGAGATATCCCTTCCCCGGAAAGTTACGTTTAACCCTGAAACGTCAAGAAGTGACCATCGTGTAACTTCTCCCTATATTATCCATGAATTATCCAGCAGACAGGTCATGAGAATAACCAGACTTGGCAGGTAAAATTTGATATCTTATTTTAACATCAAATTCTCTTAACTAATTTACAAAGAGATGTACAGCAGTTAGAGGGGGGAATTAACAATCAGATCTTGGGAGTTAAAGGGTTAAGACATCACGCTATAGCACGATTATGTCACTATAATCGTCTTACCACAGGGTCTTGATCAAAGAGTTCCAAGACGACACGTGGAGGTGATGCCTCAGTGATTTCAGGACTGCCGTAGATGTAGACATTTTCAAAGATGAGTGTCTGGTCCCAAGTGGGGCACAGTGTGCGGTGAATGATCTCTGATACCTGACTCTGAGTACCAAAAGAAATGCGGACATAGGGATCTAAACAGAAAAAATAGAATCCAGAGTGAAAAAATCTTCACCTTACTGTATTGATGCTGTTGTATTAGTTGATGGTTGAATAGAAGGTTACCGGTCACTTCACCGAAATGCCAACTCGCCACAAGTGGTCAACTCGCCACAACTTTGATCAACTCGCCACACTAATTTTTGTTCCTGGATTTGTTACCCGGTAACATCATCATCTTTTTTCTTTGGCAAAGAACAAAGACGACTGTCGGCCAATTGATCTACGGTGTCAGCGAGTTGACTAATGGTGTTGGAGAATTAACATGTCGGCGAAGTGACCAGGCACCAAGTGGAACAGATTTTCATACAATTGTTCAGTACTGTTACACTGGAATTTCAGACTACACCGACTTTCGCAGTCAAGGTCTAAACATTCGCAATATTTTCTTGTGTTTTCCAGAGCTGGTCACATTTTATTTCTTGTGGCTCAGCAAACAATGTATCATATCAAAACGACTTAGGCTAGCGACTAAATGAAGAACGAGATATAATCAACATTCAGGCATTTTGCCACTGAATCATCCTTGCCACATTACACTCACCAGACAGTCCATCAGGGTCTGCAGGCAGGAGGTCCCGCCCTTGAAATAGGTACACTCTCAGCTGATACTTGTGAGGTTCTGTAAAATAATCATGAATACATACTTGAGTCTATGTCACTGAAAAGGCAAAGTTATGGGAGATAAACCGTTTTGTTAGGCGGGGGAGCAATTACAAACTGTATTATTATGAAAGTCCTTGGAACGAGACCAAATTATTAATTTTTGTGGCTAAAATGTTCCCTTGAAATTTTACAAATTCCCGATGACTATAAAGGTTAAATTTAGTAATGGTCATTCTATCAATATCGATTAAAAACTAACATGTCGAGTAGCTGAAGTAAAATACAAACTGTCGTGTAATTTATAGCTTAAACCTCAACGTTGCAAGGCAAATGCATCCTTCTTGATGATTAACAAGGACACGAATTGCTAAAGGTTTGCTTTTCTACCAGCTGGTTATTTCGTGTTTTATTAAGGACAGTTACGTGTAAAGAACAATATTATTTTTCCTAAAATTCATTTTAGTTTTAAAGTTAAATAAGTGTTCCTTAAGCTATCTTACGTACTTTCAAATGTGATGAACATCCGGGGCACCATCATTATTCCCTTTCTACCCTGTTAAACAGATTTACTATTTTGTTAGAGCAACTTCATAACTGTCTGGTCCAGTCAGAAGCTATGATTAGCACGAGAAAAATTATTTGTCCGAGATTGGACAGTTTTTAGTTACCTCTGATCACTTTAAATTTATTCTCAGGTTCAGTTTTAAAGAAAAAGAGAATCTTTGCTTCTTTTTTTTCCGTAAGGCAGAGTTCGTGTCTTTTTTTTTTGTTTAACTTCCGTAAGGGCTTTTGCAGATAGAACATTTTTTGTAAAGAACAACTGCAGACTTTCGCCCACGACTGGACCATGGTAAGGACAATTGACCACACTTTCTCACTGGATCATACCGCCAACGCATACCCCGTTCTCTGTAGCATTGAGTGAGTAAGCGTATTCCTACCATCCCTTGATAAAACGCTAATACACCGAAAGTTAACCCTACCCCTACCCCTACCCCTCTTCCCCAGCATTTTGTCAGATTTTCGCCAACAGTTTGTTAGTATCCACTCCTACTCCAGAGCAATACAACACAAAGGACCTGCCAGAGTTCGACCTTGGACCTCTCGATCCTGCATTCATGCTAACCACAACAACATAGACTCCGTGCTTTCTAAACCGTGAAAGCGCTCTCCGATTTACAAACCTCGTCAGAAATTTGAAACACAGCTGGCGCTGTCGGATCTGTTTGAACCATTTTTCGATGCCATCTTCGACGCCGAACCAAATCTCGAGTGCGGCATTTGCTGTGAAACTTTGATGAAAACACTGCAGCATATTCCCACCCCTCTGTGTCGACCTTTTCCTGGCCCTACAAGACGCAGATAATGCATTTTTATTATATGGACATTGATAACAAAACAGAATTTCTCCTGTTTCAGAAGCATGGTATCTACACCGAGCGCACCCTCACACATAATGGCTTTTTACACAATAATCACCCACTTTCCAATAGACACCCAAATGCAGGCTCTTCCCAAATTTTTTAACCGATCTTACAAGGCCATGTGGCTCCTTGCCTTAAAGTACTCTCTTAAATTAACCTTGCGAAAGGGTGTCTTCTTTTAATATTTCAGAACTTTCAGTTTTGTTTTCTTATTTTTTTTTTATCTACAGTGATGAAATCTTACTCTTTCAAAGTCTGTAGCAAAGGGCTGGCTTAATTTGAAATGATGCGAAGAGATAAATTATCACCCAAACTAAGCTCTCGTAGGCTATTCCTCACCCCGGGTGAGAGACAGAAGACGCCTCTAAACGCTAGAGTGAATCATTACATTATTTCCCAGAAATAATCCTCTAAGTGTTTTTTACAAATACTTTTGTACCTTTTCCTCTTTGTGGGTAGATTTCACCAAGCTTCTGCTGCGAACCCATCTCCTTCTCCTCGACATATGATACGTTTTCTCCACTGCCACATAACTTCCTATACTTATGTCTACAGTGTACTCCCAGCCTGAAAGCAAACAACAAAACAGTCTTATCATGACGTTCATAACAGCCAAGACATTCTTTTGAAAAGTTTCGACTTCACTTAGGTGAGACAAAAGTTCACTAAGACCGATTGACCCTTAATACCCTAACATGAGTGGGCATACTCTTCTCACTGTAATCTAACAAAGATTCTCTTGTTGGTGATCACTTCTTTTATTTTCTTGCCCTTCACTTTGAGTTCGGTTGTGGGACAGAGAAAACATTTTGAATTGAAACCCAGACCCTCGCCCTGATGCTTTACCAATGAGCCGCAGAGAACTCCATGGTACAAGGACCACGGCGTGCAAAATCAGAAAGCTTGGCCTTCCATTCCATTTGGATGAATCAGGTATTTTTCCTTTGTCCCACGAAACAAATCACATTTTTGTTTATCAGTTATCTTGTTACCGTCCTCATCCACCGCCCTGTTGGTGTCCACGTTCCATTCTGAAGTCCACTCCCAGCCTTCAGGGGCAACTATTGAGTCCTTAGCAGTGGCAGCATTTTCGTGCTAAAATGGAATAAATCACGTGCATTTCCGTTAACTATGAATTGTGACCGAAAGTTTAACTGTTTTAACGACGCGAGGTGTAATTTAGGCAAGGTTGAAACCGATTCATCGCCGCGGTTCCACCAGTTTGTTGTGGGGGGCTTAAGTGAGGTTTTTCAGGGCATAGCGCTGTTTCTCCGCTCAATTTGTTTTGGCGTTTTTCTCGCTTCGTTTCCCTCCTTCCCTTCCATTTTGAGGGTAAGTGCTCATTCCACACACCAGTTGGTTGGTGTAGTGCTGACAGTCGCCTAGCTCAGTTGCCGTGGTGATTTCCTTGCTGTTCCCTTAACGGCACCTACCCTACTATACTTTTACTTTACTTTAAAGACAACAAACACCTTGCTTCCAAAACTGAATGTGGGGAATGTTCACCGAGGTTCTCCCTTTGCGTAATCTACGCTCTTTGCATGTAAAAAAGTTACACCGAGACACACGCGAGCGAAAGGACAATACTACATGATCGCACATTCTATAAGCATCCGTATTAAGTGATACCAGTAAACACGCGTAAAAGCTCCATTGTTTCCATGCTCAGTGGACAACATGACACTCTATCGGTTGGCATATAGCGCGTAAAGCTTAGTATTGGTATTGCTACAAGGTACTCACAATGTCGGTCCAATTTACTGACGCTGGCGACCAGTGTCCCCCAGGAAAACGTTCTTCGTTCTCAAACACGTCCTCCATAAAACTTTTACAGCCTGAGTCCTTTTCATACGCTAAGCTAAAAGATCATTTCACAGTTCATATTTATAGGAAACATGGTATTTGATAAACAGCAAATCCTTCTACTTTCTGGAGGTTGCTTAACTAATAGACCAAACTGGTGAGCAATACTTCAGAAATTTCCAGTGCATTATTATGACCTCAGCTATAGCATGTTCCAGGCCCTAAATCAGTGTAAATGGAAAAGGAGTAGGCGAGTGACAAAGAGTGCTCATGGTTTTTAGGAACATGAGTGACCACAGCCGTTTTGGAGCTCATTTCCTCCAACAGAGAGCCTGAGACAGGCTATCCCGCTAGAGATCCACCAGTTAGTTTTGCACAAGGAGGAAAAACGTCGAGTCCTAGCTAACACAAAGGTGCTATGACCACTGCAAGTTCCATGCTACCCACTAACACTGAAAATAACTAAATTACTGTCTATTTCTACGTAATCAATAGATTCCCTCTCGCCGTGTACCTATTGAATATTAGATGATTGGCTGAATTACGCACACATTTAACCCTTTACAACCTAACATCAGTATTCATATTCTCCATACTGTTCTCTGTACATTAACAAAGGTCCTGACAAAGAGAATTTCTCTAACAATCAAGAGTTTCTTTAGTTGGGGATCATTTCCTTTATTCTCATGATATTGATGTATGATTCAGTGGTGATATTGTAAGGAGAATTTCTAATTGCCATTCTTCTGTTCATTGGTTACAGGGAAATCAGAATTTGGTAAGAATATTAGTGATTCACTGTGCTATGCCTCGAGTGCCACGATTTGTTTTCAGATTCCACGTTGCCATGCATCCGTTCAGCAATAGATCACGGGTGACGTCAAAATCTAGTCTGTCTTCCACTAAATCATACAAGGGCGTATCCACCTTTTTGATTTGTTGTAGGCATTTTTAGAGATCTGGAAGTGTGCTAATCTAGTGCTTTCACGTGACGAGATTTACTCTTGCTGCTTCTTTGATATCTAATAACTCGAAAGTATGTCGTAAAGAAAGTTCAATTTTTGTTTCAACCTTTGTAAGAGTCACATTACTCGAGTCAAGCGGGAGGAAAAAAATTGTAAGCCCAGCGCTGCGGGGCTACAGGCTGGCTACGCTCGTGTCATTAGTAAGAACCAATCAAACTACAATCTAGCATAACTTATTATGTTACACGGTAGAATAAGTTATTTATAACTCTAATGACACACCTTAGCTCTGGATTAACAAACCACTTTCCATCAAAACTCCAGCCATCAGGAGGAATAAACGAGTCCTTTAACAGCTTCAGCTGCATAATAATTCAACAATTATTGTCATTAACCTAAAATTCGTACTTCGCTTTATCCTGAGAAGAGGAGTTACCTAAATATACTCCTGAGTGAAGGCCAACACACATGGAATAAATTGTACTTCCCACGAAAAAAGAAAAACATTTAAGCCTTGGTCAGAACTATTCTAGGCTGGACCTATAGTTGCGCAATCCAATGCCTTTAGCAAATTCATGGAGGCATTTTAGTATGTGTAAGTATGCACTGTACATACGTGGCATTCTCAAGGTAAGACCTTTAGAAATCCAGCGAGGTTTACTCTGTTAAGTTCTCTCATGCCTCGAAAAAGCAGTTTTAACTATTCAAAATCCATTGCTAAATGGGGAGAGAGTAGAGGTTGTAATTTTCACGATACGCAGCAACAAATCAGTGGAAGCTGAGGACTCATCAATTCCCTGGAATAATAACTCTGTCACTTTCTCGAGAATAAGTTAACTCACCGTTCCACCAGCATTTGACCAGGCAGGCCGTGGGAGTCCTTTAGCAGTCCAGTTACCAAGCACACTCATTTGGTTCTCGTACTGAGGACAAAAGCGCAACGTACATAGCTTTTCATTTGAAGGCAGATTCTCTGGCCACTAGTTGATTTCTCGTGAGGAAATACGCTATAGAACCGTTAGTCACTAGTGGCATATTAAAAAGTAACCGAGCCGTTTGCAAAAGGATTACGCTTTTCGCCTGGCGTTCCTATCATAGATTGAATTCTTTTATTCCTACCTTGTGTAAAGACTGCCCAGCGATCTGCCTATGAAATCGGTTTGGATGTCAGATCGCAATTTGTTTGGGCACCGTAAACCAAACTCTAAGTTCTCATAATGAGAGGAAAGGAATGACTCAATGAGACCAGAGTTAGAAGTGGTATGACTGATTTAAAACCATTCTGATAAGAACTCAAGCGCATAAACGCGAGTTAATAAGTCACAATTGCCTTTAGTCCTTAATCTGTTTGGCTGAGAAGGAAACAAAAGATTTTTAAACCAATAATATAGTAAAAAATAGATTCCGTTTTTCATTGAGGAGAATTCCCTTGAAATGAAGTACTCTTTCAAATTTGCAGTCACTTCCGATGTGCATTGGTTCGTCATTATAATGAAAGTTACACCCAGTGTATCTTTACAAGCTAATCATTGAAAAATCACTTTTAACTTAATTTTACCGTTTCCGCGAATACGCAAAAGTCGCCCTCAGTCTCTTGGCGGTTAGTCCAGGCCTCTTGGTCTTTCTCAAGTCCAAGCCACAGCATGACGCGGACTTGAGCGGGAACTTCTGGGTAGTCCTCTAGGTTAAACTGTTTCTTTCCGGGGTACTGTGAGGTTAGAGAAAGGATTCATTTCTTTCCTTCGATGATATCTGAACATTAAAAACCGCTCGCAAGGCAACTTTTGTTCGAAAATTTACCTGCATAAATAAATCCAGTGTCTTTCCGCAGTATTTTCCACGAGCCCCTGCATGTGTTGAGTACAGAAGATCATAGGCAGGAATACGATGATAAGCTATTCTCTTCTCTCCACTCATCATCCAAATCACCACATCTGGCATACTATTCTGCGGCTTTAGAGACATTCAAACACGACTAAAAAAACATGTCTGTAGAGGTTTAAAATAGAAAAGTTTTCATAGGCGGCTGCCGATGGTGTAATAGGCGACTGTGGCCGGAAAAGGGGCCGTTAAGCGAAACCCAAACACGAGCGTGTGTGCAGGGTGAACAGACGGCGGTAAGAGGTCCTAAACGCTTCGTGTATATCATTATTCCAACAATTGCCCTAACGTCCTACTTTGCCCTCTAAAAGATGTTCAATTTGAGATTAAGGAGGTTGCAATAGCTTAAAACTCGTTGAAGTTACCTCGCTGACCGAGTCCCGAACTTCAAGACCCACCCAATCAAGGATGCGACCTCTACTTCGAGGTAAAGGAAGTGGGTATGATAAAAAGCATTCCCATGGAGCATTGCGATGGAGTTAGCTGGGAAAACCAAACCCAAATTTACACCGAGAGACCAAGTCCTCATTCGTTTTAGTTTTACATCTGATTAGCCGAGAAGGAGGTACGAGTTTTGTAGTCCAATCAAAGAGAAAACAGCCAAAGCAGCGAAAAGGCAATACAACTCGAAACTATTTTCCACAGTCAATTGAAAGTTGCTCTTTGTAGAGTTGGGAATAAAAGGAATTTACTGTATTGTGTTCAAGCATGTTTCGTACCTCTACTGCAAGGAAATGAAGCTTCTTTAAAAAATCCTCCACGACTCCAATCGTTTCATCTACGTCAGTCGCACTTGTACGAAGTTTTGAGGCCTCTTCGATGATACATTTCTGATTAAAAGAAACGTAGAAACAATAATTCGTAAATTAAAAGTAAAGAATTTTGCTTTTCACTTTCCAAATCGTCATTTACCACATTTACTGTGTTATCTTCGCTACCACTAACCACCCTTATCCCTTTCTCGTTTGGGCTCACCTCCTCAGGGGTAGCTTACGTGTAGCCGTACCATCCCCCCCCCCTCACTCGAGGAGCGAGGGAACGTACCCCTTAGGCAAAATATTATTTCACAGTTTTCCTGTAAATAAGTAAATTTTCTACTTCGCAGAGGAGCGACTCAAAATATCGCAACGTTCAGTTTAGTTTTCTCAATTGCGACACCGACAGAGTGTCAAGGAACATATGCGGGAGAGTAAATGAAACAATCAACGCAACCAAAAGGGATGGCTTTACAAAATCTCACATCTTAGAACGCTTTTCGATTAAGTACCGCTAAAACCAAAACCAAAGTTGTCAAATCTACTAATAAGAAAAAAAGAAAATATTATTAGGAACCAATGTGAACTCAAAGTAGAAACCAACCAAAGAGCGGGGAAACGCAGGTGACCAAGTCGTGATTGATTTTAGTTGTGCATCGGATTTGATGAGAGAGTGGCGCGAGTTTTTTTGGAACAATCACAGAGCAAAGAAAAGCAAAACCAATAACATCTCGGATTACTTTCGACAATCAATTGAAAGAGGGCTCTGAATCAAAGATATGTAATTAGCATCGATGTGGATTTGACACTTTCACACTGACCAATTCACTTTCTCGTGTGTCTCTTCTCTTCAGATCAAGATCGTTGATTCCGGGTGTTTTGGCTGCCAACTGCGGAAGCGGTTTTCTGCGAATCATAGGAGATCACTTTAATAAAGCCGTATTTATTTGAGTGTTGATCTAAGATATCTCATCTTTTGAATGTGTTCTGTTCACTTCTCCTCACTTGATCGATCTATAACTTCTCGTGCAAAATCAACACATTATCCAACAAACAAGAGATCATAAGGAAACAAACTTATTCACTAGCGGGTACAGATTCTTCTTTTTGTCTCTCAAAGAAATGTAGGGTAGTTAGATGGGAGAATTAAGAATCAGATCACAGGAGTTCAAAGCAGGGATTGAAAATCACAAGACTTGCTGATAGATACAAAACCGCCTCAACATGATCAACGTTCCTAAGACGGATTGTGTGATGACCTTCCCAGCTTTCTTACCTGCAGCTCTCTATCAATGTATCCAGCATTTTAATTGTAAGAACAGCAACGGTTGTTAGAGTTGCTTTCTCAGAAACAGCCAGCTGAACTTTTTCCAAGTCTGACTCCTAATTGGAAAATCACAATACACACATTAATCCTCCGTAAATAAATAGAACGTTTGGCACATCTGTTTAGCGAAATGTTAAAACTCACAAGTTGTTCACATATCCGTGTCAGAATATTTCGTGGCTCCAGTCTGAAGGCGATATCTTCCCAGTGACTATCTACATTACAACACGGTTTAATATCATTCCATGGCAGGAAGTAATAGTAGCTTCCATCAAATATGGCGTTTGTTGGTGACGTAGAAGACGACGAGGGCGGCACTGACAAGTCCAGCTGGTTTCCATAGTTACCTGAGAAAAAAACGCATACCAGAAACTACAATGGCCATCTCGAGGACAGAAGAATGAGGAAGTAACTGCCATGAGAAGGCAGGGATGTGATATGCACTTGTCTTTTTAAGGGGGGGGCAGGGGAAGGGAATCCAAAATTTTTAACAACTTTATTTCAAGGAATGCTTTCAATGGACTACCATCATGTAACAAAATTAAAATTTGCATATCAGAAACCAAAACAGAAACCGAACAACAGTGTAGCAACAGAAGCAAGCGAAGAACAAGTAGTTTATCACTTTGCAATACTTCTTGAAATTGAGTCAAGGGAATTTTCCAATCAGTACTTTTACAAAAAACTGTGCGCATTGCGACAACCGTGAGCAATTTTTTTTTAATATGATAAGGTGACTCCTACGGGCGTTTTGATTGGTTCTTGTTAATGATCTATTAAAGGACAGTCCCATAGACGACGCCACCGTTAACAGCATTTTGTTTTTCTATCGCTTAAAATAAAATAAATGCCATGTTGTCGTGGGTATGTTCAGTACTGGAACACATAACAAGTCAACATTTGCTAATCACGTATCCATTCATACCTATGCTTATTTCAAAAGTAACAGGTCCATCAGTACAAGCGACCAGTGTGGCTTCCAGGAAGCAGGCAAACAGCTTGTATTTACGCCGACGTAGATAAGTCTGGAAGGGAAAATAACTGAACTTAAACATGCTCTGGTTTTTAAGAAATATTTCCCAGAAGTCAGGCCACTTTCAAGACGGGCAAAGGTATGTGACTTGAGCTAACACCCTATCGGGTTTGGTAACACTAGGGTCTAAGTCACATAGTCTGTGCAGCATGTTAGAGAGCTTTTCAATCGACTGTCGTAAAACCAAATCCAAATTAATCACAACGGTCAATCAGAAAAAAGGAAAATACCTTTAAAGCCAATGAGATCTCAAACCGACCAAACTGCCTAAAGCGCGGGAAAACGCGGGCGACCAAGTCGTGATTGGTTTTAGTTTATCATGTGATTGCCTGAGAGAATGATGCAAGTTTTCTGGACCAATCACAGAGTGAAGTAAAGCAAAAACAATGCAGTGCCCGATTACATTCAACACTCATTCGAAAACTGCTCGATCCAAATGTGCAAAACTGTTCGGTGCTTACGTTACACCTCTTTCTCTAACATCAGACGCGTTGATTTTGAGAAATGTCCGTTGATGGCAAGAAAGGGATGTCCACGAACATATCACGTTATACCAACTAGTAAATCGTTTCTTTTTTTCAAGCAGGAGCTACTCTTACCTGAACTCGTATAATGTCATCATTTAGTACTTCTTCGACCATCTTGGTAGGTTGAGTGTCCAACTTTGTCTCCAGCTCAACTAAAGCTCGGCCACGGTATGCTACACCCTGACCCTGAAAGTAGATTGAGACTCAAGTAAACACGTCAGCCAATCACAATAAAGGTATATCTAACAATTTTCCGCGATTAAAGCTCAACGAAAACTGTGAGCTTCGATGAACACATGATGTCCCTAATGTACGAGTATATTTTCGCGCCAAATAGACACTACGATGTTTATCATCTATCAAAACTTTTTTGCAACGCGTAAGACAAAATGGTAACGAATTGCTTCCCACTTGATGCTTGGTTTGTTTACTTTTCAGTTTTCTCTGGAACGACTTAATGAACAAACAAACATGTCCCTTCTTCTGAAATAACAGCTAAAGACTCTCTCATCTTGAATTGAACCTTAAACGAAGACTTTCATCGCACTGGACATAAGGTTTACAAATTTAAGATTATTATCTGAGGGCATATGCGGTCAAGTGATAGATTGAGATCAATAGCTCGTGAGCGAGCGAAAATAATTGATGGACTGTAAGGGTGTAAACAATCAAACGTTTGTATGCATGAGGACTTACAACGCCAATATTCAAATCATCAAATTCATCAGGAAGATCTGAGTATTCTCTTGTGGAGCCGTAAAAGTTTATGAAGCAGGGTCCAAACCTTGGCAGGTAACCTAGAAGTACAAGAGAATAGAGTTGGTCAAATCATGGCAGTAGACTGTTGATGAATGGGGAAGACACAAACAGACACAAACTTCCAGAGAACAAATATTTAAAACAACAAGAAAGATCCTTTCACTTGTTGTTATTGTTGAAGCAAGCTGTTGTTCTCATCTTCATTGCTAAATAACCTCAGAAAAACTGAAAAAGCATGTGCAGCTCATGACCAAATTTCTCAATATTTCAACAACAGCTAGTTACCGGTGGTCTACTGCTGCCTATCAGACCTCTCAACACCGACTGTTTTGTCTGCGCAGATCAGGGAATAGATAAGCCACCTTGGCTTTTGCTGGGGAGCATACGGCATACACCATGGATCTTCTTCAAACTCTACTTTGGAACTTATTTTGGCCTCCCTCAAGATTATGTTCCTCCTAAGAAGTTTGTCTCGGACACTGCACTTCCAGGACTAATAAACAGTATATTAAGTCTTTTTTTATGCATGTACCAACCTTCCTCTCCTTGTCCAGATATTTCAGACATGGGAAGGTAATACGTTCCAATGCAGTCATCGCCACTTAATTTGTCCCTAGAAAACAACAGTTATGCATAACATAAGTATCGTGTTCAAAAATGGTTCTTATGTTGAGGGCACCTGAAAAAGAAAAAACATCTGAGTGCTTCATGAGGACTGGAACCTCAGAGGTGCAGATTTTGAAGCGCAACACTCTACTACTAAGCTGGAGAGTGCTTGTCCTTTATAATGCCATCTACCTAAAAATTCAAATTTAGCGTCACAAGTGTTTCAATATTTGGCAGTGTACAATTTTAGCTCAACACTGATCATCAAAATGATATATTCTACAGTCATCCAGATACCCTCTCTAAAGGAGGTCACATCCATCAGCAAGGAATTCTAAAAATTTCTAACCGGGAAAAATATTTGCAACTTTAGAAAAATTTTTTCAATAGCATGTATACAACAAAATATACTTTTCTAGGCATAAATTTGTTGATTATCTGTTATATTGTTGACATGTACCAATCAAAATTTTTATTAGACTTAACTTGTTCAACTTCAAAATTAACTAAAAGAAGTATAATAAAATAAATTAAACTATGAATATTATTTTAAAAATTACATACCAGTCCCATAACTGCAACTTTAATTTTTCTGCCATTGTAGGGAACTGGAAAATAAATTTTATGTACTTCATTTCATCTGTCTGGCATAAATATACTGTTGGGACATATGTACATGTAACTGTACATGACTTCTCCTGAACTAACTATAACCCTTGAATTTATCTTAACACACAAAGTAAATGTCCACTAGTATCATGTAAAGTGTATATTAAAAAAGGCAACACTATACGCATGGTCACTTTTTGACTCCATGACACCAGATTAATCAAGGAATGTTGTAAATCTTTTAAAAGTTTGGTCAGCAAATGAAAAAATTATTTATTTGTCACAAGGGTAGGAAAAAAGACTCAGTCCTGATCCCATTCCCACTCCCAAAGATTAGAACCTCAGATTTCACAGTTTGATTTTCTACTAATTAGCCTTGAAGAACTCTTGGTGTGCAAGGTCATTACCAGGTTCAATTAAAACATGACAAATGCCCCATATATGTAAAGGTAATAACATTATTTTGAGTGCAATATGGTGTAAATAAGCACGAGTAAATTTTTCAAAGACAACAAAATTGTACAAGCCTGTAGGATAGGTGCAATTTGTAATCTTTGAAAAATTTACAAGTGCATATTACACCAAATTGCAAGAGAAATCTTGTTATTACTTGTTACTAGTATACATGAGTAAAACACGACTGGAAGGCAAGACAGATGAAAATTTTGAAAGCATGTGCACACTATTTGTAATTTTCACTCATGTTACGTGAGAATGCACTCATTTTCAGCCAATCAGAAGCGCATAATTTTCCACATCCTTTATTATACTCTAAACAGCACTGAATAGACATGTTCCTGGCCAAGCTCACCAATATTTTCTCTATGGCTCAGTAGTAGGGCAACCTGCTTGGACAGCACACTTGGCGTTCACACTAATTTGAAAATATTATTTGCAAGATTGACCTTTAAAACAACTGGGCCCTTTATTGTAAGGAGAGATTTCATTCTGGTTGCTCCTGGGAGAGAAAGTGTTAAAGACACAAACAAGATTTCAATTCTGATGTAGCAACCAAAGCAAAAATAACTTGTACCTGAAATGGAACATGTAGCTCTTGTTTGAATTCAGGGTGATCACAATTTTTGTGTACATCCGTTCTTGCCTAAAAAAGGAGAAATCTTATTATTGAGACCTTAAAGATCCTGTGGGTAAGATGAAGCCTATCCTTTGTTCTAAATTGCTACCCAAGTGGGACTTCCAGCTTTTATCCCAAGGAAGAAAAAAGAAAAAAAGATTGTAAGCTTATTGATATTTCCCATTTTTTAATAAAAAACGAACATGTACCCCCCAATTGGCTTTCTTTCCCACCGCACAAAAATTAACCAGTCATTCTCAATTCTCACAGAAGCAAAATATTTTTGTTACATGATAATCTTTTACTTATAGCCAAGCCTATTCCTTCAAAATGGCCGAAAGTTACGTTCTTTTTTTTTAATTTTTATAAACTTTACATTCAACTTGGTTCATAAAACATAGAAAAGGAGCTTGGCAAAAGTCTTGCCATTTTGACTTAACACCTGATCAATAACACATATGTATTGATCCTAGTTCAGTAAACTTCAGGGGAATTATTGTACGGGCATTGTTCACTAGATCTGGCAACTCCCAGGCATCTGTGTCCATCAGAAGAACTATGATTGCATTTTGAAATAAATTTGTTGTAAAACTTGCAGTTCACATAGATATGCCTACTCTTAAAGGTTATTTCTTGAAATCAGTTATGGCAACAAGAATTTCCATTTGATCTCTATGTTTCCTGATAACAAAAGTACTGTTCTGTAGATATACGAGTATATGTCAGCAGCTACATATACGTGTATACATTCTGGTTCATGTTGGTGCAAAGTTTTTGAGACCATATTGTTTTAAAGCAAAGGAAAATTAGAAAATTTAATCAAACAGGTGAAAAAAAAGGGCATACTTCTTTGCCAGCAAATGAGAACATCATGTAAGGGTCAACCAACTCTTTCATCTCCCCACCAACAAAGGATTTTTTAATTGTCTCACATACAGCAGAGTCCACTGCAAAGAAACAAATGTAACAGAACAAAAAGATAAATACATAACAAGTCCATGAAAATTTATTTTCTATGGTATGCATGTCCATATGTCTCAGACAGTTATAGACATTGCACAGCCTAATGAGCTTTTAAAATGTACACTGATTTGATTCAGACAGAAGAAAATTGAATTTTAGGAACTTCAAGAGGTAAAAAGCTCAGAACTAGAAAAGGATGCTAAACATTATTCGCAAAGTTAGTTCAAAGAAAAGTCCGATTCTGAATTTCCCATGTTCTACCAAATGAGATACTGAGAACTTAGACAAAGATGTATTTTTATCTTTTCAGGGTTGCATTACTCCCAGAACTAGGAGAAACCACACGGATCCCCTACAACTACTAATAAATTGCTAATAAAAATAAAGTATTACTCTGTGGAATATCCTCAGCTCTATACACTCTCAAGGAGAAAACTGCAGGTCTAAGCATCATGCCTGGAGGTTGGATCAAGTTACTAAAGAAAGAAAACACAGTCAGAGTGCAAATAAATATAAAACTTCACTCTCAGCATAAAATGATCGTGACATGTATGGAAAACTGAAATTAATAAGGACAACAAGATAACAGAAACACAATCATTATGGCTAACACACACAAAAAATCTAATTTAGATTCAATAAATGAAGAGGCTTTCTTTGTACATAAGCAAACATTTCAAGCCCACATACCAAATGCTGCAAATTTCAAATGTGAGCTCAACATCCAAAAAAAGAAACAAAAACATTAAACAAACCAAACTTAATATCACTCACTCTTCAATATCATCAAGGTCATCTTGATCCTCAGTTATCGTCACTACCTGCACAAAGATATCACATAAAAAATAGCACTCTCAAACATTCACATCCTGACATAAGTATTCATATTCTCCACACTGTTCTCTTTACACTTCCTATGGTACTGACTAAGAAATTTTGTTTGACAATCAATCAGGAGCTTTCTAATTTGGTAATTGTTTATTACTTTTATTATTCTGATGACCTCTGGATCTGATTCAAAAGTGAGACAGTAACAAGAAATTAGAAGCCTGCAGGCACTCTTTGGGAATCAAAAAATAAATAAAGGGTTACACGATTGGATGGATGATCAAAGCTCTGATCTCAGAAAGCCAGGGTGCCCAAACCATACAAGCATTCATTAAAGACATATGTTAGTTACCCTGTGGCACCCAAACTGTATTAATGCACCACCCTGAGATATCTCCAACACTGGTAATTAATCTACATTTAATACGTGTACATGTACATGCCAAGTTGAATTATTCACAAACCTTGCACAATTTGATACTATACATTTATAGACCACAATTTGAATCATTATCAATGTATGTGACTGATGAAAGTAACACATATTTAAATGAATAAAAAGTGCAAAACGTTTCATGTTTCAAAGCATTTTGGGCCTCAGGTATTTGTTTATGGAGAGTCAAGTGGTGTTCCATGCTTTCTTTATGCAAATGAAAGCATCAATCACAATGAAACATGGACAACGCATTCTTTACCGATCCTTTAATTCTAAGAAGCGACTAACATGAAATTTCCCCTTAAAATATCCATACATTAGCAAACAAACAGGTATCAAGACTATACTCAAACTTATCAGGTACATGTAGAAGTTGTTATCTTGATCTAACATCAAATTCTTATGACTTTTTTGCAAGGAAATATCAAGTGACTACAAGAGAGAATCGATGCCACACTCGTTTATTGATACCACGCAACCTTAGACTATCTTGCTAACATGACAGTCATACATCAAGAAATCCATTGTATTTCTCACTTACTGGGGCTTCATCACCAGGTCCAAGAACCATAACTGTAACTTTCAAGTAGCCCTGCAAAGAGTGGTTTAAAAAAGGTTTAGAGATACATGTGCATATGTATCTTACCATTTATCTTTAAAGAATGAAGTAGAATAGAAGGGTTGTAAAAGGAAAATTAATAGAAGTATGATCTGAACTGAAGGAAGTTGTTGAATTTAACTATATGCATGTGTTGTGAGCATGCCATGTTCATGAGGCACCCAGAGTCCAGTGCACTAAAATATATGCCACTGAAATTCTCCCACTAGACTATTTGAGGAAATGGTTAATTTTCTTCATCACCCTCGGGCACTGAACTAAAAACCACTATGTATCGGCGTGGATCAATTTGTTCTCCTTCGTTTGAAAATTATCATCTCGTCCTGATTTTAATCAGAATTATCAGATTAAAATCAAACTGAGATATCAAACCATTGAGGAAGGAAAATGTGAAAATGAGAACTAGCTTAGCCACTGTGAATGTGAACATGTATGTGAGTGTATCAGCTGCTCTATAGATCAAAATACAGGACAAGTTATCCAAAATACAAGAAATGCTTCTTACTTTTGCTCCTGCCATTTTATCCTCTGGGTCAGATAAAAGTATCCACTTCCTTAGTACAGAATGAGCTGGAAAAAATGAACCAACTGAAGTTGAATCTAAACCAAACATCACTACTCTAGACATATTTGAGGTATATAACCCCAGCACAAGAATATGGTACAAAATCTTCCTACTAAAGTTACATGTACCTCAAATTTAAAAAATGTTGAACACAACTTAGAGACAGAACAATTTTCATAATGAGGTAGATTTTTGTGATCTTACAAGGTTCATCATAGAAGAATCCAACATCACACTGCAAGAGAAATGAGATAGTCAGATCTGACTTATCATGAAACATCATGAAACATCATGAAACATCATGAAGCATCATAAAACACAAAAAATAATTGTGAAGTATATCAATATTCCCTTAAATTTTTTACTAGAACAGAATGTATGTCAGCTTCATCATCAATAATTTGGAACATAATGAGATTTACGAATAGCTTTGGCGCTAGTATTTAAACTAGATAAAATGTGTGATTTGTATAACATAAACATTTTTCTCAAGCTTTATCGAAGTGAACAAAAGTGCTTATGTATGAATGACTTTAACAATCCTTTAGCTCCCTCCTACTATGTTCTGAAAAAAAAATTCTTGCATAAATAAATGATGGTACAACACATAAACATTCCAAATAACTATCAGTATAGATATTTTCCATTTTTTTTTCTGTATATAACTATGTTAATAGGAGGAAGATGTCACATGACTTGCATTTAACTAAGCAAATCTCACCTGAAAACTCCCCACCATTGCATTTGCTCTTAATTTCTTGGAATTAAAAACCTGAAGAACAAAATTTAATATTCAGCACACTCCTGAGCTAGGTAAGAATAGTGAATTATTTAAGTAATGTAACCTATTTTCCTGATCAAATATGAACATAGTACAGCATTTTATCATTTCTTAATCATTTTCAACAGCCCTTACTTGCTGATTATTTCTTTATTATTTAAAACATTTGTCTCTTTCCTTGTTCAAATTGGCCACGAAAAATCTCACTGTGGTATTGCAGGTAAATTGAGTAAATTCTTTATCCATCTGCGTAACATCTTTCACATCATACCTCAAACAGGGCTTGAGCATCAAACAGTTTGTGTGGTGTAACATTGAAATTGAAGAAAAACACCTGTTGAGATTTAACAACATGGCAACTATAGTCAGTTTAGTTCAATGTGCCTTAAGGAAATAAAGCAGAATTCTTCAAGATATCAGGTCTTCTGATTGAGTAAAAACAAAAACGGTTATATTTCTTTTCTAACCCTTTCAACCCCTAAGGGTGACTAACAGCTAATTTCTCCTTACAGAATCACCACTGAATCAAACATTTAAGTCATGAGAATTAAGGAAATGATCACCAACTAAAGGAGCTCCTGACTGCTAAACATTAATTCTCTTTGCAAGCACTATGGGAAATGTACGGAGAACCCTATGGTGAATATGCGCACTACATGATGTTAGGGTGTCAAAGGTTCAGGAATTCTAAAGTATATTTCTAGCAATTCTATTTCTGATTTTCGAACCTCATCATAAAATGGCTTGTTGGTTGATTTGATGACTTTAGTCTGCCGTGACTGATTGTCCATTGTCACACGGACCACAGGGCTGATGTTAGCTCCTGCAAGCTGACGACCCTCGATAATCCTAACCCTCACCTGAAAAGTGAAAAAATTAGCATTAATGAAATAAAACACGGACCAGGCCTTTATTATTTAAAACTGCAAGGCATATGGATAGTCATGTGAAGTTCCAAACAAATAGCTGAACCCTCTTTGATTGAACGTTGTAAAACCAAAACCAAAATAAGTACAACAACCACTGACAGGGAAGGTAAAGTCTGTACTAAAGTGGCCCATCCTGAGGAAGCTTATCCTAGTTTCCATAACATGAAGCAACAAGGAGTATTACTGCATGCACTCCCCCTTTGGATGGGATTTAGACCATCCCCAAGTTAATAGCTCATTAACCCTTTAACTCCTAAGACCTCACTAGTAATTCTCCTTACTGTCTGCCATACAGTTCTTGTGAGTAGTTTTGAGAATTTGGTGTTGGACCAACTAGTAATCCCCTTATCAATTTTTTTCCTTATTCTCATCACTTGCTTGCTTGATATTTTATTGATCTTAAAAGGAGAAATTCTGTCTTGATCACTCATGGGAGTTAAGGGTTAATGGCTATTTTCCAAACATTGAACATATAATTTACAGACCTGAAAATCAAGATTTTTGTCTGGCAGCTTCTTCCTTGCTTCACTTTTTGCCAGTAAATCCTCTGTTCCAGGTAGTTTTTCATGCATCCTTTTTTTTTTGGATAAATAATTTCAAGACAAAGCCATTAAATGTGTATTGTAGTTAAACCACATCAAAGCACACCTTGAAAGTAATGCTTAAGGGAGGATTTGGATACTTTACCCAAGATATCTTCAAACCCAATCAGTCTAGCTTGCAAGCAGGCCTCCATTATGAGGTTAATTAGTAACAAGGATTGCTGAATGAGTATCATGTTTGCATTTCCACACTGTCAGCTAGCTAGCTTTGTGTGCTAGGTTCTCATTCGAGTTTGCTTTCTCACTCTCCCTCCCTGGGGGCACAACGTTTTCCTTGTTATCAACAAGCATAATTTTTTGGCCCAAACATGTCTTCTTGCTTACCTTTCCTGACTTCCACCAGGTGGTGTCTTTGTGCCTTCTGGCCTCTCATCCTTCAATTTGGATGGCTGCTCAACCTTTGATTGACCCTCATCTGTCTCACGTGGAGGTTCTGGAGTAACTGCTCTCTCAACTGGCTGTGGAGTTTCTACTGGGGAAGATGGAGTTGGGGCTGGAGCAGGTGGGGGAGGGGAGGGTATAGCATCCCCATCATCATCCATGATGGCCCGTCAAACAAACCTAAAAAGGAACAATATAAAAGCTACATGGATATTGAATTTAACCACAATCATATAGTATATTTTAAAATCCAGTTTTAAGAATCAGGCTGATGATATATTTATCTTTGGTATTAACCCCTTCACTTCCAGTAGTAGTGACCTAGGACTTGTAATTTTCTCTTTAATACCATTCTGGTAGGTGATGAGAATAAAGAAAAATATCAACAAGGGGATTATTGTTTGAGTTAACACCAAATTCTTAGAAGCAGCATTATGGGAAATTTGAGGGCAGACAGTAAGGAAAATAGCTATTGATTGAGCTCTGAGGAGAGAAAAGATTAAGATTTAGGCAAACAAGACTCTACATTGTAACAAGAAACTTTGATTTATGTTTTCCTTTTGCCAGTATTCCAGGATTCAAATGAGAATTAGTTGTCTTCAATTAACGCTTCTCTTTGTCAGCTGTTGGCGGGAAAGAATGCTACATGTATAAGCTTTGTAACTACCAATGATCTCCATAGCCATGTTAACTGAACTTATATCATTCTGATGGATCAGTGATAACTAAATTATGATTTACTGAGATTTGAAAATCGGTTCAGAGGCAAATGCAGAAGATCTTGGAAAATTAATGAGTAACCCTAATTCCCATGATCTGTTTGTTAAATCTATCCACGAGCTCCTTGCATCTTTCCTCGTAAATAAGTTACAAAAATTTGTCATTAGATCAAGATGACAACTGTTACCAGATACGTTTTAGTATTCTCATCTTACAACTTGACTATTGGAAAATGTTAATACATTATATGGAGAGGTTACACGCTGACCACTTCGGCGAGCTAAAGGTTATCCTGTAATCCAGTCTAATGCTACATTTAATGCTTTTAGTGATCTTTGCCTGGACAAGATATGACAAAGATGTGCATTTCAAGGTATGGAGTCGGCATGGAAGGAAAAGTAATTTTCTCAAACACGCGACATAAAGTCAGAAATACGCTTAATATCAACGGAGACCTAAATCTATTGCGTAAGTTTTCATTACCCTCATATGGATGCATCCTTACACACACTGACAGATTATAAAGTGTACAACTGATATTTCCATGAAGTGAGGCGCGATCACAAAGTTAAACTGTCAAAAACTTCGTGATTTTGTTGTTCAGTGCTTTTGGTTTAACTGATGTTTTAGCAACCCCCTTTTTCCATGTTTCCGTGTTCCAGTACATCCCTATGATCGCTCTCACGGTGAGGAAAGCGCTAGGCGAAAGGTATTCTGAGAAACTTCTCAGGTTGTTTCGCAAACCGATAAGATCCATTTTTTTCTTTGAATGCCTTTCTTCATTTTTGTGGTCAAACCAAGAAATCGTAGATGATCGACATGTTCATCTTGACTCAATCAAGATGAAAGCGTCGTTCATCCGCGATTTCATCCGATGTTTTACGGGTGGATTGCGAAAATTAAGGTAAATCAGAGTTACTAGAGTTACTCTACCATAAAGGCGCCCAACCCTTTATTAAAAGGAGGATGATATAAATGAAGGTTTTTAAAGATTTTTAGAATTGTTTTTTAAACATTTAACATGAATATGAAACTAATGAAAAGGTGCAAGTCTCACAAGAGTATTTGGAGCGCAAGCCACATGCAGATCTGTATATTGCTGAGATCCGCAAATTATACCGTTGTGTGTTGAAAAAAATTAAGAAAAGCTCGAGCATAATGCCGCTTTAATGACTAAAATTCTTTAAAAAATTCCTCTATGTTACATTTGTTAGAGTAGTATTTTTAACATTCGTTCGGTTGTCTCTTTCCTTATTCACTCTTTTGCTACATAAGTCACCATGCTGGGTACAGCTCAGATCTGAGTGAGAATGCAGGTCACCAGCTTATAAAGGTGACACTTACTAAGCTTTCAATCCTCATGCAACGTTATCAATTATCACTCAGCTAGCAAATCCTGTTAATTACAAGAAACAGATCCTGCGTACTAAGTATGTACCTTCGAGATGTTTACACTCTACAAAATGATTTTCTATCTAAAATTTCTTAGTCTTACGGTCAAGGTCGGGCAAAACAAAAACAAGATTGACAATACGAGAAGTATAATGAACTTACTAGCAGAATTAGAATCATACTTAGAAAGACGTCTTAAGAGAAAATAGCCTTCGAAGACTGTTTCATAACAACAGAATAAGAGAAGAAAGGGCGTACCCAAGGTACCGCCTCGAAAGAGCTTCGTGCTCTTCGTATAAGTTCCGTGATTATAATTTTAGTACGGAGGATGAAAAGTACTACATGTTTGCACCTTATGTCACCTCTGAGAAAAACAGGTGTCGAACGTGTTAAACTGAAATTTAAGAACTATGTTCTTGATCGTGAATTCGATATGGACTTAACCTAAAAAACGAGAATAGTCAAAGAGGTTAAAAAAAATATGAGAAAGGTTACTTCCAGGAAATTCCTGTACGGGATCAATTTTTATAGGACAAAATCATTCTTCTTCGTAATTAAACATCTCTTCTCAACATAATGGAAATATACCAAGATTTAGCTGCAAATTGTAGTTTACGTAGAAACATCTGACTCCATGTTAAATTTACGATCACAATAAGAAGAAGGTGACCGAAATTCTACCTGTAGGATAAGACCGCCAAAAGGAATAAGAAACGATCAACTGGCTTATTATAATTTTTACTGAATGGCTTATGGTAATATATTATTTCCATTCATTTTCCAATACTTAAATAAGTTAAAAACACATATACAGAAAATTCTTGCTGGATGCCATTTTTGTCTTTTAACACATTTAGCAAGAGAAAAGTTATCAATGCTGAGTACTGTCATGAGAGAGCCTGATTTTCCTGCTTGCACTGGAATTTGTAGCAAAATGTTGTGCTGTGAACCTCGGCAAGTCTTTTATTCTCAGCTAGTTTTACTAAGCTGATTGTTGTAGGAATGACGGAGGGGAGGGGGTGGGGGGGAGGTTTTGAGGGGCTCTCAAAAGCTATCATTTTGAATCATTAAATTGAGCATATTTTTTAATGACAAATTGTGAGCATAATTGGTAGGAATAATGCCACGTTTTCAGGAGTGACACCCAAACAAAAGCACAATGCCCGAATTTGCGTACATAATTCATCTGACCTGAGACGTCACGTATCGTTACCTTGACAACTAACCCTCTGAATTTGTCCGTTGTTTCTCTGGGAATTAAAAAAAAAAGTTATTGGAAATAATAAGGGCTTCCCTATCCCCTGACAACACGAAACGAAAAGGGCCAGTTGTGGCCGATTTGTTTATTTCTGGGCATACACTTTTTTGTTGAATCTCACCGTGACTGTAAAACGTGATACTTTATTGTATTTTTTGTAATTTGTTAGCCCTTGGAGTTTATTTTTTTATTTTTTTTTCTAACTTGCTTTGCATATTTTTTAATTACTGTCTTAAATCATTATTTCAACAAAAAAATTCCACAGCCGGGCACTTCACGAAAACATCTTACCAAAGCATTCGATTCTTTTTCTTGAAAGAATTTGTCTTTCTTTTCACATAATATGATAAGAGGTGAGGTAAACTGGACAGGGAAAGAAATACTTTTGAAAGGTTCATTTGATTCAACTCACAATGACCTGCTGAGTGACTCTTTGAGACAAAAATATTATAGAGAAACCCGTAAGAAATTCGAACCAGCAAAATCAAGAAAACAGTTCTATTCCGCAAATGCATGTAACAGTTCAGCCTTTTCTTTGTCGGTAGTCAACTTCCAAAAGATATGTAATTACCAACACATTAGCGCGACGCACATTAAACTACAACCTCAACGTTTTTCCACTTAGTCCATTTTAATGAAGATAAGTGAAATTTTATCGGAAGAAATAAGAGAACACTTAAACACGCGGTAATCACTCAAGATCATAAATTCCAAAACCAAGTGCTAAGTTCCCGAGAGGTGGACACGATTATACGTTTGGAAATTCAACGGGCAAATATTCCGTCCACACCGGGTTTAATGCTTCCCTACGTATATTGAAAATTTACCTCCTCAAAAAAAAGATTTAACTATCTCACCTTTAAAATCTTCTCTTTGCCTCAAACTTGAATTTTTCTTCCTAAGGGAATGATTAACTCCGACATGGATATCAAATTGTGATAACAATAAACTCTCTTCGTGGCCGCCAGGGAAAAATGAAAAGGGTTTGGAAACAAATAAAATGGAAGTAACAATGGCATTTTAACGATGCTCTTCGGCTTGACTTGTTACCATGTGAACGTTCGCTAAGCAGACAAAATTTGAATTTATTGTTTGAACTTGAAACTTTCCACAAAGCCTACACTGACGATGAGACATTAAACTGCAAACTACTTTATCACTGATATATTTTGAAAAGAGAACAATTGTCTAAATCTGTTGTTTGAAGAGATGCTGTGAATAACCACAGATTTAATTTCACAACCAGCGTATTCGATCACAAGAATATAAGGAACAATTATTATTCATACGTTATTGTAACTGTGTGCGATGAAATTTAAATATTTTTTGAGTATTATTGTTATATTTTGTCGAGATCGAAAAGGCGACTACTACAAATCATTCCTTGGTTATCTATCAGCTGGGACAAGCTCTGTGAAGGTAAATTCATAGACGAAAGGTTTCCACCTTTCTTTCCCCCTTCCGTCCCAGTTTGATAAAAATATAGAACCTGTTGAGAATGAAAGGTGTGTTTTAATACTACAATTTATCCCCCCTTAATTTGGCAGAGTCTGTAGTCTTGTTAGGCTAGCGTTTAAATAAGTACTCTCTCTTTGTTAGCGGTATCGCATCGAAATTGTTTTACATTGCTAAATTAAGCTTATAAAGGGGAAGCAAGCAGAGACAAAATGTTTAATTTTCCCTGTATTTGTAATTCTAAAGCTATTCCGCAGTAAAATTTATAGTATCCAACTGTATAGTAAGAAAGAGTAGGGCCACGCGTGTTCATCCCCAAAGGTAACTTTAATAGTGTGGTTTATCGTTAAGGCAAAACCGTAGGAAAAGGAAAAAAGAGCCTGAAAGATTTTTTTACAGACAGATGGCATAGACTATTTACTCAAGGACATTCACCTGCTTTTGATAAATAATAGCTATTGATCAAGACTGAAAGGGTATTGACGTGCATAAATTGTTGGGAAAACACAAACCTTAATTCGTCTTATTTTGAAACATTTCAGTTGCTAAACGCTAAGGAGATTTCCGTAATAATCCATCAGAAAGAAATCAATCAATTCTATAAATTATACTACGCTCGTTAGACACAAAAATCATGCACCTGCTGTGATATTTACTTTAGAAAGGAAAAACGTTAATTGTTATGTGTAATTAGAACGGATCAAACAATCGAAGTGGATCAAGTCTTTCGACTGCCTGTCGTTTTTATATCACCTTAGTCATTTTCCTCTTTTAGTTTACAAAACATCGCCTGATGCAAGTAGGATTGTTTGAACATTTGTTTATCTTAGCATGAAACCCTCACGCTCTATCGGTGAACCGGCGTAACAACCGACGCAGAATAAAACAATTTTCAAAGCTATTTTTTGCTTTTCCTCGCTCTGTGATTGGTCCAGAAAACTCGCTCCATAGACCCTCTCGACCGATCAATCGCTCAATCAATCGATCAATCAATCGATCAATCAATCAATCAATCAATCAAACAAAAACCAATTACGACTTGGTAGCTCGCGTTTTCCCGCATTTAGGCTAAATAATTGGGTTTTTTTTAGTTCTCATTGGCTCTTACAGGAATTTTCCTCTCTTCCGTTTGGCCATTGTGATAACTTTGGTCTTAGTTGAAAGACACTCAATTTGAAGAGCTTTCTAATAGGTAAACACGAGAAAGGTTTTTGGGTCAAGAGCCAAAGGCGAGTGATTTAAAAGTTTTCAAGTCTACGCTTCATATCGTAAGTGCATGGGTTAATACCCCGATATAACGACATTTAGTGGGGTCTATTGCTTTCATTCAATAGCTACGAGTTTCACTGTAATATAAATGATAATTTCTGACCGATCAAAGGGCGAATAACATATCGGTTAGTTTCAAAACGATTCTGTCCGATCGTCAATATGACAACGAACTGTCTACACGAAATATTTAACTGGTTTCCTGCTCATTATCTTTGATGACTGGGGAGTGCTGATGTATAGATAACATCGATTCAAGCGAATGCGTTGTACTTTCGCAAGATGTAACTCGGTGAAGTACTTTGAAATCAGTCATATTTGATCAATTTATTTTTATAAGGAACGCTTGCGGTTCAACTCTGAGAAAGGATGTAAGTGTTTTTTGGGCCGTATACAATAAGAAAAATGATAAAATTACTACTGACTTGCTTTTTAATAGCATTTTTATTGACCGTTTTTAGTGCTATCTCTTTTCACGACAATTTCTTTAGGTGAAATGACGTGTAACTTCGACAAAGGGTCTATCGGCGGCGATGGCTAAAAATGACGAACAAACCGGGGTGTCGGCTTTAAGCTGCAGCTAACACTCGAGTCACAATGCTTTGACTCTAGGAAAAGTGCAATAGAATGTTGAACAGAGGCCTTATTTGGTTACTCTGGTTATACTCCACCATACCGTTTCCTTGGTTTTAGAAATGTACCACGCGACTTAACTGTAAAACTTAACCCCAATGAAAGGCGTGACGTGTTATTGGTTATTTCTCCCTGATAAGGGCAGAGTGGCTTTTATTATCGTTGATACCCTACGATATTTTCATTTGGTCCGATTGGCTCTTATTTTCAGGTAAGTTTTTCCATCAAAAACGTACTCTAGGTTTACGTTCATTGCTGAAAGACCGTAAGCGACAAATTTCTTGTAAGGACGGGGGCAATTTTAGCGACGCCCTTCAGAATGCTAAACTAACAAACAGAGAAAGATCACTGTAGCAATTTCTGATTCGAGAGCACAAATCCTATTTATTGAAGCTACAAGCTAACACCCTTCTATCTCAGATAGTTCTTAGTTAAGCAATATTCAAATGAAAAAATAATTGATTATTTAACAAAATGCAAACAATTGACGCACCCATCCTGAATGGATGTATCAATTGATAACAACGCTTAAGAAATTAACTTGAGAAATGGAATTGTATCCACAAAGATTAATTACATTTTCTCAATAATATATTCATTCCCGCGGCTAACCTAAGGACTCATTGTCAAATGCTATATTTCAAAATTTTCCAAGGAAGAATTCATGTCATATCAGTTCATGTTTAATACTATTATACTTGAGTTATCCGTTCGCACTACTAAACATTGCTAGACAAGTAGCAGTTCTAAAAGATTAACTTTGTCCTTTGAAACTGTCAAAGTATTTTTTCCTCCTTTAACATGCTAACTTGACCCATTTTGTAACATGGCCTCACATTAAGCGTCACGCTCTCCTTAAATATTTTTGATGCGTGACATCTGATAGGGATGTCACGTAAAAAAGTTGGAGATTGCGTGACGGATATTTAACCATGGGAGAGCAAAATAGACCACTACCTAAGAAACCAGCTGGTTTCAGCATTCAACAATACATTGAAATTATTTTTTGAATGTGAAATTCCCTTTCATTCCTACATGTTCCATTGTCTACTGGTCAAATACAGAAAGGGATTCATCGCCAGCGACAAAATGTTAGACACATTATTTCTATTCGCCCGCTATTTCTAGAGTAAACAAAACTACGCAAAAGGCGAATACTCTACGTTTTTATCGAATTTACATCTCAAACCTCAATTGGATAGTGCAAATGCATGGAACACGAGAAGAAAGAAACAGTCGCTTCACATTGAAAACAAGCAAATCAAACAGAGATGAAGCAAAATCAAATAATTCTCTGAAAAGACTCCTAAGCACCCTTTTTCAACCTAAGTGATTCCATTGAAAGCTATGCCACCAGTATAAAGGAGTCAAAACATTACGTAGGGCATATAAGAGTAACTAGGTTAACAAACATATGACCAGTTATGTAATCATCATTCATTGTTACTACCTAACAATTTGAACAAAGGTTCAAACATATTTCCATAACTTTTGATAATTACGTAATAGCTATTCAATTGTCATTGCATTGCATCTCCCACTAATTTTTTCTGATTAACATAATACTGAATATTCATTCCAATATATTAATCCTATTAACATTTCATTCTTTATAATAGTAGTATAAATTCGACACATTAGACTTTGTATTGAGCTGTGTTAGTTTTCCGTCGTAGGGGACGATTTAAACGTTGAATATCTTCTTCACTGAGTATCCCTGAAAAGAAAAAAAAGGAAAAAGGATCATCGAAAAGGTAAAAAAACAAGAAACACGATGTAAAATAGAATCATAATTATTTTACAAACTCTTTCACTCCCTCGTTCTAATAATCATTCTCCTTACCTCCTGTCATACAATCCTTATGATGTTACTTTGAAGAATTTAGTATTGGATCAACTAATATTCTCCGACTGATATTTACTTTATTCTCATCACTTGTCTACTTGATATTATATTGATATTGTTAGGAGTAAATCTGTCTTGGGCGTTCATGGGAGATAAAGTGTTTAGCTGACGCAGAGTGGTTTCGTATTTTTTTTTTATATCAATTCTCTGACGAATCGGCACTACCACAATTTTTCTTTTCTTTTGAGCTACCAAAGAAGATCCTCATTAATCGACAAGTTGCGATCACTTATTTTGGTCATGTCGGGTTACCATAGCAACCATGTGCCACCCTTAATTAAAATCCCTTAATTTAAAATCCCTTAATTTAAAATCCCTTAATTTAAAATCCCTTAATTTAAAATCCCTTAATTTAAAATCCCGTAATATACTAAAGTGTTCGGTACACTACGTGTACCATATGGTCATCAATGTTTTTTCTTTTTTCCTGGCGTTAGTTGGGAACCGATCAACAGTTTTCATTTCATTTCATTCCATTTAATCCTATAGACCATTGTGCCGGAATATACCGCAAAATTTGTTAAGACACTTTGGTTCACAAGGCCTCTTACGGAATTTCGTTTTCTACCCTTCATCATTGGTTTAGAAATCAACCAATCAGATGTGCATAAAAACCACACGTACTGCGCGTTTTCCCGCCATTTTCACCGCCACATTTTATGGGGGGAGGAGGAGGAGGAGGAAGGGTTGTATGAATCTCCTTGTTTTCCATTTCTATGCATTGACCAGAGCGTATATCTGGCTCTGATTCACCAATCCAGGCGTTCATACAGCTCAACTATTAACAAACATCATACTCACCGGCATGGAATACAGGAAGATAACAATGGCGGCCACGATAAGTAGAGTGATAAGTACTCCAATAATGATCCATTTGTAGTTTCTCCATATAATGTACCGTAAAGTCTTCAGAGGGGATGTGAACCACCGAAACGAGGTTGCTGGGCGACTGTGACAACACGAAGGGAACATAAATTCCAGTTAACAAAAACTACTCGTACTGATTCAAATACTTACTCCCTTGATGTTCATTCTATAGCGTGAATTTCAGCTGCTACCTACAAATCGAGTCGATGCTTTCCTTCAAAGTTCTGCAACGAACTCTTTGCTGAATATCAACACTGCCAGGCTCTTCATATCACAAACATGAATAGCTCGTTTACTTACTTAGGTTCGTCTAACGTCGGGTTCTGATTTGGTTCATCTCTCCCCTTACCAGCCGGTTTTCCTTCAGCTTCGTCGTGGGTCAACAACTCCAAGGCCATTTCTACTTTACCCTGCAATAAATAGGAAAATAAAAAGCTATCGTTGCTCAAACAATTCATTACAAAACTTAAGCATGTGAATTAGCTAGATCTATTTTATCAGCAAAACTCAGTTAAAGACCAATAACAACAGTAGTCAACTGATAAAAATAAGGGTAAATTTTGAGTCAAGAGAAGGGTAGATGCGCAGTTGCTCCGATATTGACATTCATCCGCGCTTTTCCTTGATAACAAAGGACAACATAATAACAAGCCTCCATTGTAATGGCAAATGGAATATTTTCCTATATCTCCTTGTAAAAATTCCGTCTCCTTTTCTCTTCTTTAACTATTTCAAACCTTAAAGCCAACAAAATCATCAAAATTTAAATTCATCTTTATGATAGAGCAATTTTCAGTTCAGTTTCGAAAGACCAAAACCACAGTACTCACGAAAGCCAATTGGAGCGCAGGTCGACATCAAAGTCAGCCAGTGGGAATTCAAGTTAAAAACAGGCAAATTAGTTTTGAATCTGATTGGATGAGAAGGTGGCGCGATTTTTTGGGACCCATCACAGTGCGAAATTGAGCAAAAGCAAAGCAATCATGAATTACTTTCGACACTCAATTGAAAACAGCTCTATGTCCATGATAGCATCTGACGCATAGTACTGCAAGCCAACCGGGAGAAACTGATGAGATGTACTTCCAAATTCTCCTATGTATGTCAAGTGAAAGGAGACTTTCTCTTTTGACCTTACCGTTAATTGCATCTCCTCGCCTGCCTCCTGAGCCACACAAGGCCACCAACCGTATACTCTCTTCGACTCAAACAAGGACACCGTCTCTACACTGCTGCTGGCTCTTCCTTCCTCGTATGAGGGTATCTGCTGCAGACTACACCTCCTGGCACTCTTGGCTGGCTTGGGCATACGGTTCAGATTCAGCTCTAACTGACCTGGAAAGAAAACCACAAGGTTTGGATGAAATATCTCGTTGATCGAAAATCAGGGTTGACCTCCATTATCTCGTATTCAAATTTAACCGCTTTGTCTAATGTCAGTTATTTATCATCTATTATTTCAAACTCTTTCGTTTGCCTGGAAAGTACGAGATACCAAGGTGAAACAACACAACTAACAGCTAGCGCAAACTTGCCCTCATCTCAAGTGAAGTTTCCAACAGAAAACGAACAAGAAAGTTAAAATTATCCTTATCAGTAATATCGCAATCTGGAAACTCTTGTGTTTTCAATCAAACGGCTCAAGGTAAGGTAGATCAATGTCAATATTTGGCAGGATTTTTCCAGGACACCAATTTTAACCTTAAACCCTTTCATTCCCAAGATTTCAAAATCAATTCTCCTTACTTACATACAATTCTCTACATTCATTTCTTACAACGTAAATTCTGAAAACTTTGTTGCTTGGGTTGAGCAGATTTCCAAGACTTTCCAGGAACTGTAATCATTTTCCAGTCCTAGGAATGTCGAAATAAGATTCCGGGACTTTTCAGGTTTTCCAGGACCTGTACGAACCCTGACACAGAAAACCCAGAAATGATTCTGGGATCCTTAAACACACAAATAAAACTCACCTAAGAAGTCATCCGCAGAGAACTTGTCATTGTCCCAAATTTGGATGACTAGGCGCGGAGGGACACGTTCTTCTGTTTCGTCTAAACTCCAAAAGTGTTCCTATCATGATATAGTCAAACCAATGCATTTAAATTAGCACCTTTAGTCTGAACATTGCCTTTGTTGTAACAGACAAGGAGAATGCAATAAGCTTCTTATAATAAGCTGAATTCTACACGCATTTTGGTTGGTTCTGACTCATGATCTATTAGGGGACAGACGCATAGATGACGTCATCAGCAACAACAGTTTCCTTTTTTTAATCACAGAAAACAGTTAGATTCCATGTTGCGGTGGGCTCGTATAATAATAGATCACAGAAGACGCCCACATGTGGAAAAAAACTGAACAGACACACATGGAATCTATTTGTTGAATTCATAACAAGAAGAGGCCAGTGTTACCTTCTTTCTAACAACCAGGACTTTCTCCGCAGCGAGGAACATGAATGGGAATACAAAACGCCAGTTGAAGTTTCCTTCGCCGTCCAGAGACCTGAGTGATACAGAACGTCACAATAGAGATATACATATACAGATTAACTGTGAATGCTGCAATCGCTTGTCGAATCTCAAGGTATTCCTGTACATGTAATGAAATCAGGGCTACTCATTTGAAGGGTGTATTTGAACACGCGACTACTCAAACCCTTCACGGCTACAGTAAAAATTGCAATTATAATAGAAACTACAGGGCTGAAAAGATGAGACAGGATTGGAAAGCAAGCCACCAAATCAAGGTATGTAGGACAGTGTGAAGTGCTAAGAATGGGAAGAATTCTTTGGCAAGATTTCCATCTTCTCCGTCCACTTCAATGTCGTTTCATCCTTCAAATTTGTCACAAGGTCCACCTCTCTCATAACAACCCAACTGAATTTACCGCAAGCTTGAGCCCGACAAATCAACGACAAAGTTAGTTAAAGATAACCCTTTACACCCTAACGTCAATGTGCATATTCTTCACACTGTTCTCCATACATTTTTTAAAGTGCTGGCAGGGAGAATTTGTTTAACAATCAAGACCTTCTTTAATATGCGATCATTTCGTTTATTCTCGTGACCTTTATAGGTGATTCAAAGTTGGTACTGTAAGGAGAAATAAGATGCTGGTCACAATCTACATACCTGTAATGCACATCAGTTTTCTGTGAGTCGTCAATCCCAGCGATCCATCTATTAAACGAAAAGTACAAAACATATTTTCACGACACTGCAAGAAAGTGATTTCTTAGTCGTGCAAACGAGTTTAATGCACATCGCTTTAAAATAAGCTTGAGATATAGCGGGAAGACGATCAGTTTAGGTCTGATATAAAATCTAACTGATTGCTTCGATGGCTCGAGGTATGATTCCTTTACACCCTTCCATCATTATGCAGATTCTCCACACTGTTCCGTATACATTTCCCAAGTTACTGACAAGGAGAATTTGTTTAACAATCAAGACTTTCCTCGGTTGATGATCAATTTCTTTATTCTCATGACCTTAATTTGTGATGTT